TTAATAAAATTATGAATGCAAGACACTAAAACCTTGTGTCATGTGATAGGGTTAAAGCTCATAACAGTATATATATCTGTTTATATTTATATTTTATTGTCCTTTGAACCATGTCTAACTAATAATCTCACCACTTCATGAACATGTAGCTTATGAGTATACTTTGTGAAGAATGTTTATTATTTTTCATTACAGACCACCAAATGATACTGATGAAATTAGTGAGAAACTTTACAATGAGATTAAGATTTCAGCTGTTAATGAAGTCATAATTATGGGTGATTTTAATTTCAAGCATATAGATTGGGAAATTCTAGAATCAAACCATGAGGGAGAAAGGTTTATTAGAAACTGTTCAGGATGGCTTTCTTCACCAGTTAGTCAAGGAACCAACTATAAACATTGCTATTTTAGACTTATTGTTAACTTGAAATACAGAAATGATTGAGCGGGTGGAAAGTGGGGAACATCTTGGTGCAAGTTATCATTGCTCTATTAGGTTCAATGTTTTGCTGCAAATGGAGATAAGGAATAATGATATTTTGGTTACAAATTTCAAAAAAGCAAATTGTGAAGGGATGGGACAAGAGTTATCTGTTGTGAATTGGGCAGCTGATTTGGAGATACTGATCAGATGTGGAAAATTTTTAAAGATATATTTTTAAATATTCAATGTAAACATATTTCTAATAAAAAGAAAAGGGTAGCTACAAGTGAAAAAACAGGTTGGCTCACAAAGAGTTTAAGAAAAAATTATAGACCCATTTGGGTCATTTAGTGAGTTGGGCAAATAAATGGTAGATGGGTTCTAAATTATAATAAATGCAAGATAATGCATGTAGGTTATCATAATTTGAATTGTAAGTATAATTTGGATGGGAATAACCTTAATAGTGTTATGAAGGAAAGGGATCTAGGTGTAATAGTTGATCAGTCTCTAAAGCCATCCAAGCAGTGGTAGGGCAAATAGAATTTTAGGTCATATCTATAGAAATATTGAATACAAGTCTAAAGAGGTTATATTCTCATTGTATAGGTCACTGGCTGGGCCATATTTGGAATATTGTGTTCAGTCTTGGGCTCCTTACCTTAATAAAGACATTGAACTGTTGGAAAGGGTTCAGAGAAGGGTTACTAGAATGGTGCCTGGGATGGATGGGTTGTCATACAATGAGAAATCTCTCAAACTGTTTTCTCTCGAAAAAAGAAGAGTTAGAGGGGGTCTGATTGAGGTGCTTAAGATTGTAAAAGGAATTGATAGTGTTGATGTATCACCTTTTTTATATTTAAAGTTAAAAAATTGTAGGACTAGGGGACACAAATATAAATTTTGGCAAGGTAGGAGTCATCTTCAGCTAAGACAGTTTTATTTTTCTAACAAGGTGATTGGCCTTTGGAATGAGTTGCCTTCAGATGTTGTAGAGGCAGTAAATTTAAGTGAATTTAAGAAAAAGCTTGATAAGTATATGAATGAAAAGGGCTGAGTTTAAAATGTTTTTAATTATTATTTTTTAATCATTTTAATTTAGTTTTGAGGATGGAACAGCCGAGATGGACCAGTAGGTCCCATGTTGTCCCAAAATGTTATGTTATTATCTTATCTAATCTAACTCAACAAGTTTCTAATTTTTACATTTTAATTACTTTAAAACTAACAACTAAAGAATACACATGAAAAACAAGAAATATTGTACCTACCTGAACAACTTCTTTTACTGTCAACGAAACTAAAACCTACTATTTTTTAAAAAATACTTATGGTCCTACTGCACTTTTATTGAATTAAATAATGCACCTAAAAACACAGACTAATAACAACTAACATACAAAAAGTAAACAATTCCTATAACTGTCATAATTTTTCTGGTTTTCTATGCAATAAGAGCCTTTAAAAATTTAGCTAAGCTTGTCAATGATTTTTGCAAAAATAAAGCTTCAAAATGAAGGCGAAATAGACAATTCTCTATACAGAAAACAACATAATATATGTTATCTGATAGATTAAAACTTTGGCTTTCTATTGGTTATAAATCATATAGTATAAAGACATCAGAGAGAACTACTGGCAGTTTATGAAAGATGGCATGAAACAGATGAGTATGGCAAATGGGTCATATTTTCTAGTTTATGACTCCATAAACAAAGATTGAACACTATAAAAATTATGCTTTGTAATTTGAGTAATTTATGATAAATTTCAGACTTCTCAGAGAGGTGGTTAAACAAATGAAAATAGAAGGAAGATCAAGAAAACAAATAGTACAAAAATTCTACATATTAGGGTAGATTAGAGTAATTTTTCTATTTATTTACCTTATAAAATTAACAACTTAACATTTATATAATACT